TATTCCCGTTCTGCTTTTAATAGCCCACCCAGGTAACACACACACACACCTGCTGTGTCGACAGCTGTGGTCCCTCTGACAACATGTCTACAGTTGTGTCGACAACTTTGTTGTAATTATCCTGAGGGCAACTTTGCAGCTGCCTGCATTCAAATCTTCTAAACATTTCCCCGCAGTCCAGTCTCATCAGACGTGAGTCAGAGTGGTAACGTCGTCAGCATGTGTAATGTTTTCTCCATTGATATATATGCCTTTATTTCTCAAATAAAAGTGTTCGGTTAAATACGCTTTGCGGTATTTTGAAAAATAAAAAGTGGGTAATTGATTCACAAGACGGTACAAAAATAAGTGTGCATTTGCTCTACCCCCAACCTACAATTATCTTAGCAGTGATTCACCTATCACGAACTGTCCACTACTATAAATAGCGGCCGCAAATTTGAGTACAAATACATTATTGATCTGGATGTGGTCACGGTTATATTTTGTTGAATGAAGCATAATCCCCAGGCAGGTGTCAGCCGATGCCAGGTTTTTTTTAAACTCCAGTCCTCACACACATCCGAGTTATGGTCCTGGTTTAATGTTTCCGAGCACAAGATGCTTGCAGTATTTATTTACAATGACGGCATTACAAATTGAGATGAGTGAACGTGAACAGGCAGACTCTGGTGAGCAATCCTCAAATAAAACAGGCTCTTTTTCCTTCCGGACGAATCCATGTTATCCCTTGTGTAAGACTGTCTGAAGCTTATCTTGATAGGGCTTTCAATATAATGCACAGCTAAAGAGCCTCCCTCCTGTCCAAATAAATAGGAGTATATTTCTATTGACCCAAAGCCAGTATTGGAGAATCTGCATTCCCACGAGGGGAACCAATCTCTTCATAGGACACCACTATTATTGCCCCTAAAGTCGTGCTTATATTATGGACTGGAAGGCCTGACTCACCTGAATTGCACCTGACAGATCTGGAAACCTAAGGAGGTTTGACCCAGGACGGTGCCTGGATAGGTGACTACCATTACCAAACAGGTTTTTACATGGCTTGTGCGGCTACGTGGTTGACAGCATAGGACGGTAGAGAATAAGCCATTGTAAATTTCGATTTAAAGCATTCGCGACTGCAGGGATTCATATTCTTGGTTCTTTCGGTAAAGTCACGTAGAAGGGAAATAATAAAACAAAGCAAATTCTCACAAGAATGAGAGTGAGAATAAAATAATAAAAATAAAACAATAACATTCTCACAAGAATGAGTGAGAATTTTATTGTTTATTTTTAATTATTTTATTATTTCACTTCTACGTGACTTTACCGAAAGAACCAAGAATATAAAAGCCATTGTAATGATATGCCCCGCACGTCTGTGCTTCCAACCTTCACCATCCCACACTCGGGTATAGTGAAAAGGTAGTAAGCCAAACCTCCACAAACCCACACATGGTATAAGGAGGCCCTTACCCAGCGATGGATTGCCAAAAGGACCGTGTAGTCCATATCGGATGGCACAATCAGCACTTGACTGAACTGTCGAGTGCTGAAACCTAAAATTCCACCCAGCAGAATCGCGAGGCAAAAGAAGTCACGGTTTTAACTTGTAATCTTCGGAGACGATCACTCTATTGTTGAACCACCAGGCCAGATAAATGGACTATTCTATATCATGTTTATCAAAGGTAATGCCATAGCTCAGCAAAAATAATGCCCATTCGCGTGCATCTGAAAGGGATGTAGGCAGCGTATTAATTCACAACTGCTGCATCGGTAGTAAGCAAGTACCTCCTGCAGAAATTCTGAGTAATGAGAGGTCAGATAGGTAAGAAGAGGGCGAGGCGTTGGAGGCCCTTGAAATAATACACAGGGACTCTGCGTGGAAATCCAACACGGCAATGGATGATCCATGGCCCAGGGGAAGCTCTCAGAGGTCACCTTGATTTAAGCTGCACATTGCTGCAAGTTGAACGAGAAACTGCCTTCTAGATTTGAAGCTTTCGTTCGTGACTGCAAGGATTCATACCCACACGGTATGGGGAGGCCCTTAATTTAGTTGTTTTCATTCATTTTATTTTACCTACGTGACTTTACCGAAAAAAAAAACCCAAAGAAGTATGGGAAACTGCCTTAGCCAAAAAAATATTTGAGCGCCCGCCATCCCGAGAGCGATATTGTCAACACAAGTGTCAATTTGTTTTTGTTTACGCGTTAGCATCTCTCTCCACGCAATGTGGACTGTTTACCCGTGCTTTGCCATGCACTTGCTTTGACTGTGTGTCGATCGCTGATGGGCAACTGAACTTCGATTTCGCTCTCTTTAATCTCTCCATGTTTACACTCGCACTGTACAATGTTGTTGTCACTCGCTTACCTGGGTCTCCCTTGCACTTCCTGTGTCATTGTGTTAAGTTGGACGCAGATAAGTGTCGACAACAGAATATGTACATACCGTCTGTGTTAAGATTTTATAGAGTACAATCTATATTGACATGCATCACCAGAAAGATGCATTTGATTTAAGCTGTGGGATTGAAACAGAGATTGTATCCCAGTAAACTTATTGCACCATTGCACTAAATCCTCTAGAGTTGGTCTTACCACTTGTGTAGTTTATACTGAGCTGTGTGTGGCTCAAGAGGGCAGATTGTTGCGTATGCCTCTCCCTATATTGTAATTATTTATCGATTGTCTTGACTTCAGCATCAGTAATTCGTTCTTAGTATTGCACTTGTGGTTATACACTTGAGGGTTTGTGTTTCTACCACTAATGGACAATTTACTTTAACAGGCCTTTGCTACAACTGGATTAACAGGCAATACAATTAATCGTTGCGTAGTTATATATATTAATAGCAAATAAAACAATATTGAAACAAAAACGATTCAGTAGGATGAATAGATTAACCATAATGTACATTTAACATTCTGTGTTTGTGGTGAGAGTCCATTGAGAATCAATACCTCTTCAACAAGGGAGACTTGGAAAACAGTGGAGCAGTATATTTATACTTGACTACAGAACTGTAAATAATGTAATTGTTTCAAATGTGGGGTTCTGGATATGATACCGTCAGAATACGTCCTCCTCACAATTGAATGTTACAGGGTCTTAAACATCCACTTTACAGTATTATAGTTTGAAATAGTAATAACCTCGATATGCGTATATTCGCTAAACAAAGTTTCAGTATAATGAACTTTGGATTTTTGTAACCATTATTTTACACAGGAAGCTAAAAAAAGTGAAACAATTAATACATACACTGAAATGAATACAGTATATATCATATTTTAATCAATCTACGGTACAAAAATGAATGAGTAACATATTTATTTATGAATATTATGAATATTGATTTTATTTACGTTATTTTTTATATAGTACTGTACAGTATAAAATAAAAACAAATTCAATATCAATTATTTTTGTTTACAATATGAATGGTAAGTTATGTCGTGTTTATAGTTTGAAATGGCAAGTTACGAAGGCTGGGGACGCATCCCCCCTTGAGTGATGGTATACGTTATTCAATATACACGACGTTTCAATATATACGAGGCTCGAGGAGCATATCCACTTCGTATGTCGAGGTGTTTACTACCAGACATGCATATTCAAATCGTAAAAGTCACAGTGGTTTACAAAGGAAGTGTCCGTATATTGACGTGGCTTTCTGACAATGGTAGTAAGGGACTCCGCTACTTACGAACGAGTAAAGTTTCAGAGGTCTGTTCATAAGTCCAACTTTACTCCCGTCGATTCCAAACATGTTGTCCTTCATGTACACTAAACACGGGGGATGGCTTCAAAAGTGTTATAATATCTTGTAGATGTAGATGCCATTGATTATTCACGTTCTGTAGATGTAGATGCCACTGGTTCTTTACATTCTGCAGATGTAGATGCCACTGGTTCTTTACATTCTGCAGATGTAGATGCCACTGGTTCTTTACATTCTGGAGATGTAGATGCCACTGGTTTTTTACGTTCTGCCGATGTAGATGCCACTGGCTCTTCATGTTCTGCAGATGTAGATGCCACTGGTTCTTCATGTTATGCAGATATAGATGCCACTGGCTCTTCATGTTCTGCAGATGTAGATGCCACTGGTTATTCATGTTTTGCAGGTGTGGATGCCACTGGTTCTTCATGTTCTGCAGATGTAGATGTCACTGGCTCTTCATGTTCTGCAGGTGTAGATGCCACTGGTTCTTCATGTTCTGCAGGTGTGGATGCCACTGGTTCTTCATGTTCTGCAGATGTAGATGTCACTGGCTCTTCATGTTCTGCAGGTGTAGATGCCACTGGTTCTTCATGTTCTGCAGATGTAGATGTCACTGGCTCTTCATGTTCTGCAGATGTAGATGTCACTTGCTCTTCATGTTTTGCAGGTGTAGATGCCACTGGTTCTTCATGTTCTGCAGATGTAGATGTCACTGGCTCTTCATGTTCTGCAGATGTAGATGCCACTGGTTCTTCATGTTATGCAGATGTAGATGTCACTGGCTATTCATGTTCTGCAGATGTAGATGTCACTGGTTCTTCATGTTCTGCAGATGTAGATGTCACTGGCTCTTTATGTTCTGCAGATGTAGATGCCACTGGTTCTTCATGTTCTGCAGGTGTAGATGCCACTGGTTCTTCATGTTCTGAAGGTCTAGATGCCACCATCCCCATCTATTGCGTGGGGTTGGTTGAACTTACGACTCTCGGTCCGAACAGGCAACTGGACATACGAACCAGGTTTGTTCGTATCTCTGAAGGTTTGTAAGTCGAATGTCCGTAAGTCGTGGAGTCCCTGTAGGTGTGGCATGTTATATGGAATGGTGGCAAGGCCATGGCATACCAGTCAACCCTTAAGCTTTACCCGTATTCTTGTACAGGGAAATTGAGTTTCCAGGTTCATATGTTGTACAGACGTTTCAATGCGGGCAAAAAACATGTTTTTGTCTGTGTTTGTGTTTCTCCCTTGCGATGGGACTTTGTAGGATGAACGTTGAGATTTATAAGGGCACGGGGTGATCAATGAGATCTGAATTGGTCTGTAATAAGTTAGGCACTGATAAGGGCTTGACAGCTGTGCATTGGTCACACACTTTATTATGATTAATTTATTTGGTGATGCTGCGTTGGGAGCGTTGTGCAAAATCAACAAAAACAACTCAATGCATCCGGCAACACATTCGTGTGTGTGGCCTTTAAGAAGGAACACTATGCAATCCACGACGTTTCGGGCAATGGGCCGCAAATATTGATAAATAGTACAATTAATGTACGTACTATAATAAGAACGTGTATAATGTGATTGCAGTGTCCAGGGCTAGGTGGCGCGCCACTTAAGACGATCTTTCTCATATCGTTCCCTCACGCCCGCAACAGCAAGTTACTCTTTCTCATTTCTTAAATCACTATCGTTACATAGAGGCGGCTGTCACCAGCATCGTCGTCGTCGTCATTTCAACCGTAACATTATCGGCATTGTCAAGGTATATATATTTTATAATTTAATTTGTTATTTGGAATCTGAGGCGATGGGAGCGGTGGTGGTGTGGGAGATGCGGTGCACGACGCGGCGAACGCGGTTTTAAATGATTGTATAATTTTTGACGTGTGTAAAAAATAAATAAAACGAGTGAGATTTTTGTTTTAAAGAAAAGGACATTTAATAATAATATTCTATTGACGCATTTTTGTTTTTTGGTCACACCGTATCGAATCTGTATCGGCCCGGCGCGATCGAGGCCGTGGGTGGGAGGGCTCCAGGCGATGACGGCAGGAACCTCGCGGCGATCAGGTGAGGGAGCGTAAGCTTCTCGTGGTCATTTTAACGCGCTGCGATTAAAGCGAAAGCTTCGTCGCGATTTAAATCGTGAAGTTTAACAGACAAAAAAAAATAATTGCCTCGGTTTTTTTTCGTTCATTTGCTTTCGCGCGTTTTTTTTAATGTAAACGAAATGCACCGGCGGCGACGACAACGACGACGCGTTCGCCGCGATCCCCGCGACGTTGCCCCGGCAACGCGCCGACGAGGCTGCGTTGGGCGAGGGATGGCGAGGGCCGTTAGGGATCGCGACGATTTGGTTTCGCCGAATGAATGAACGAACGGACGTTGAATCGTCGTTACCTTCCTGTTCTGTGCATATTGGGGGAGCCACAGTGGGCCCCGTTGTTTTATATGGGGCACTCTGGCCAGTAAACAATCTTTGGTTATCCAGCTTAGTAACAACATTTGGTTATCCAGCTTAGTAACAATCTTTGGTTATCCAGCTTAGTAACAACATTTGGTTATCTAGCTTAGTAATAATCTTTGGTTATCTAGCTTAGTAACAACCTTTGGTTATCCAGCTTAGTAACAATCTTTGGTTATCTAGCTTAGTAACAATCTTTGGTTATCTAGCTTAGTAACAACATTTGGTTATCCAGCTTAGTAACAACATTTGGTTATCCAGCTTAGTAACAATCTTTGGTTATCTAGCTTAGTAACAACATTTGGTTATCCAGCTTAGTAACAATCTTTGGTTATCTAGCTTAGTAACAATCTTTGGTTATTTAGCTTAGTAACAACATTTGGTTATCTAGCTTAGTAACAATCTTTGGTTATCCAGCTTAGTAACAACATTTGGTTATCCAGCTTAGTAACAACCTTTGGTTATCCAGCTTAGTAACAATCTTTGGTTATCTAGCTTAGTAACAATCTTTGGTTATCTAGCTTAGTAACAACATTTGGTTATCCAGCTTGGTAACAAGCTTTGGTTATCCAGCTTAGTAACAACATTTGGTTATCCAGCTTAGTAACAATCTTGGGTTATCTTGCTTAGTAACAACATTTGGTTATCCAGCTTAGTAACAACCTTTGGTTATCCAGCTTAGTAACAACATTTGGTTATCTAGCTTAGTAACAATCTTTGGTTATCCAGCTTAGTAACAATCTTTGGTTATCTAGCTTAGTAACAACATTTGGTTATCCAGCTTAGTAACAACATTTGGTTATCCAGCTTAGTAACAACATTTGGTTATCCAGCTTAGTATCAACCTTTGGTTATCTAGCTTAGTAACAATCTTTGGTTATCCAGATTAGTAACAATCTTTGGTTATCCAGCTTAGTAACAACCTTTGGTTATCTATCTTAGTAACAACATTTGGTTATCTAGCTTAGTAACAATCTTTGGTTATCTAGCTTAGTAACAACATTTGGTTATCCAGCTTAGTAACAACATTTGGTTATCTAGCTTAGTAACAACATTTGGTTATCTAGCTTAGTAACAATCTTTGGTTATCTAGCTTAGTAACAACATTTGGTTATCTAGCTTAGTAACAATCTTTGGTTATCTAGCTTAGTAACAACCTTTGGTTATCCAGCTTAGTAACAACCTTTGGTTATCTAGCTTAGTAACAACATTTGGTTATCCAGCTTGGTAACAAGCTTTGGTTATCCAGCTTAGTAACAACATTTGGTTATCCAGCTTAGTAACAATCTTGGGTTATCTTGCTTAGTAACAACATTTGGTTATCCAGCTTAGTAACAACCTTTGGTTATCCAGCTTAGTAACAACATTTGGTTATCTAGCTTAGTAACAATCTTTGGTTATCCAGCTTAGTAACAATCTTTGATTATCTAGCTTAGTAACAACATTTGGTTATCCAGCTTAGTAACAACATTTGGTTATCCAGCTTAGTAACAACATTTGGTTATCCAGCTTAGTATCAACCTTTGGTTATCTAGCTTAGTAACAATCTTTGGTTATCCAGCTTAGTAACAATCTTTGGTTATCCAGCTTAGTAACAACCTTTGGTTATCTAGCTTAGTAACAACATTTGGTTATCTAGCTTAGTAACAACATTTGGTTATCTAGCTTAGTAACAACATTTGGTTATCCAGCTTAGTAACAATCTTTGGTTATCTAGCTTAGTAACAACATTTGGTTATCTAGCTTAGTAACAACATTTGGTTATCTAGCTTAGTAACAATCTTTGGTTATCTAGCTTAGTAACAATCTTTGGTTATCCAGCTTAGTAACAACATTTGGTTATCTAGCTTAGTAACAACATTTGGTTATCCAGCTTAGTATCAACCTTTGGTTATCTAGCTTAGTAACAATCTTTGGTTATCTAGCTTAGTAACAACATTTGGTTATCTAGCTTAGTAACAACATTTGGTTATCTAGCTTAGTAACAATCTTTGGTTATCCAGCTTAGTAACAATCTTTGGTTATCCAGCTTAGTAACAACATTTGGTTATCTAGCTTAGTAACAATCTTTGGTTATCTAGCTTAGTAACAATCTTTGGTTATCCAGCTTAGTAACAACATTTGGTTATCTAGCTTAGTAACAACCTTTGGTTATCTAGCTTAGTAACAACATTTGGTTATCCAGCTTAGTAACAACATTTGGTTATCTAGCTTAGTAACAATCTTTTGTTATCCAGCTTAGTAACAACATTTGGTTATCCAGCTTAGTAACAATCTTTGGCTATCCAGCTTAGTAACAACATTTGGTTATCTAGCTTAGTAACAACATTTGGTTATCTAGCTTAGTAACAATCTTTGGTTATCTAGCTTAGTAACAACATTTGGTTATCTAGCTTAGTAACAATCTTTGGTTATCTAGCTTAGTAACAACCTTTGGTTATCCAGCTTAGTAACAACCTTTGGTTATCTAGCTTAGTAACAACATTTGGTTATCCAGCTTGGTAACAAGCTTTGGTTATCCAGCTTAGTAACATCATTTGGTTATCCAGCTTAGTAACAATCTTGGGTTATCTAGCTTAGTAACAACATTTGGTTATCCAGCTTAGTAACAACCTTTGGTTATCCAGCTTAGTAACAATCTTTGGTTATCTAGCTTAGTAACAACATTTGGTTATCTAGCTTAGTAACAACCTTTGGTTATCCAGCTTAGTAACAATCTTTGTTTATCCAGCTTAGTAACAATCTTTGGTTATCTAGCTTAGTAACAACCTTTGGTTATCCAGCTTAGTAACAATCTTTGGTTATCTAGCTTAGTAACAACCTTTGGTTATCTAGCTTCGTAACAATCTTTGGTTATCCAGCTTAGTAACAATCTTTGGTTATCTAGCTTAGTAACAACATTTGGTTATCCAGCTTAGTAACAACATTTGGTTATCCAGCTTAGTAACAATCTTTGGTTATCCAGCTTAGTAACAATCTTTGGTTATCTAGCTTAGTAACAACATTTGGTTATCCAGCTTAGTAACAATCTTTGGTTATCTAGCTTAGTAACAACCTTTGGTTATCCAGCTTAGTAACAACATTTGGTTATCTAGCTTAGTAACAACATTTGGTTATCTAGCTTAGTAACAATCTTTGGTTATCTAGCTTAGTAACAACATTTGGTTATCTAGCTTAGTAACAATCTTTGGTTATCCAGCTTAGTAACAACCTTTGGTTATCCAGCTTAGTAACAACCTTTGGTTATCTAGCTTAGTAACAACATTTGGTTATCCAGCTTGGTAACAAGCTTTGGTTATCCAGCTTAGTAACAACATTTGGTTATCCAGCTTAGTAACAATCTTGGGTTATCTAGCTTAGTAACAACATTTGGTTATCCAGCTTAGTAACAACCTTTGGTTATCCAGCTTAGTAACAACATTTGGTTATCTACCTTAGTAACAACATTTGGTTATCTACCTTAGTAACAACATTTGGTTATCTAGCTTAGTAACAACATTTGGTTATCCAGCTTAGTAACAATGTTTAGTTATCCAGCTTAGTAACAATCTTTGGTTATCTAGCTTAGTAACAATCTTTGGTTATCCAGCTTAGTAACAACCTTTGGTTATCCAGCTTAGTAACAAGCTTTGCTTATCCAGCTTAGTAACAACATTTGGTTATCCAGCTAAGTAACAACCTTTGGTTATCCAGCTTAGTAACAACCTTTGGTTATCCTCCTTAGTAACAATATTTGGTTATCTAGCTTAGTAACAATCTTTGGTTATCTAGCTTAGTAACAACCTTTGGTTATCCAGCTTAGTAACAAGCTTTGGTTATCCAGCTTAGTAACAACATTTGGTTATCCAGCTTAGTAACAACCTTTGGTTATCCAGCTTAGTAACAATCTTTGGTTATCCAGCTTAGTAACAACCTTTGGTTATCCAGCTTAGTAACAACATTTGGTTATCCAGCTTAGTAACAACCTTTGGTTATCCAGCTTAGTAACAATCTTTGGTTATCCAGCTTAGTAACAACATTTGGTTATCCAGCTTAGTAACAACATTTGGTTATCCAGCTTAGTAACAACCTTTGGTTATCCAGCTTAGTAACAAGCTTTGGTTATCCAGCTTAGTAACAACATTTGGTTATCCAGCTAAGTAACAACCTTTGGTTATCCAGCTTAGTAACAACCTTTGGTTATCCAGCTTAGTAACAACATTTGGTTATCTAGCTTAGTAACAATCTTTGGTTATCTAGCTTAGTAACAACCTTTGGTTATCCAGCTTAGTAACAAGCTTTGGTTATCCAGCTTAGTAACAACATGTGGTTATCCAGCTTAGTAACAACCTTTGGTTATCCAGCTTAGTAAGAATCTTTGGTTATCTAGCTTAGTAACAACCTTTGGTTATCCAGCTTAGTAACAACATTTGGTTATCCAGCTTAGTAACAACCTTTGGTTATCCAGCTTAGTAACAATCTTTGGTTATCCAGCTTAGTAACAACATTTGGTTATCCAGCTTAGTAACAACATTTGGTTATCCAGCTTAGTAACAACCTTTGGTTATCCAGCTTAGTAACAATTTTTGGTTATCTAGCTTAGTAACAACATTTGGTTATCTAGCTT